CCCACCCAGATATAGCACTCACACCAACTCCACGCTCTCTTCTTACACAGGATAAGGATGCTTACAAAGTGAGAACCCTGGCTCCCTGCTGAGTCATTTAGTTAAACTTCTAAATTTCGCAAATTGACACAATCTATCAACCATTACAGACACATAATTGTTCCGATCAGTTGTTCTTCCTTGTATGCAAAGACTGAGATTGCCTTGGGGTCATATACAGTGTCATAGGCAAGAGCCAAAGAACCAAGGGCTAGGCCAAATAGGCAGCAATTTCTCATTCCTAATAAATTTAAGAGGTAGGATTTTTCAATAGACTCAAAATATGAAAGCCAACTATACCTAACAGACATCTCTGAAAAGTAGTCATTTCCTAAATGGTATCAATACAAGCAATAAAAATACCTACCGAAAACAATTTACAGGCATCAATGCAGGAATTAAATTTAAAAAGAAAAGAAAATTAGAAGACGTGGAAGCAAGATGAACACCTGACCTCTAGCTCACTAAAGGTAAACTCTGGGGGTAATGAGGTGGAACAATTTGAAAGCCACCCACCTGGACTCTGAGAAGTTGTAAAAGTGGAAGTAACAAAAACAATGAATAAGGGTCTAGAGAAAGTCAAATAAGAAATATTTCTTAGATACCTTCAGAGATGATAACCATAATGAAGGGAATGATCAGTGAATCTAGAGAAGACACAGATAAAACATAGAGGCAATTAAGAAAATGATAGCAATCATGAATGCACAACATAGGAAAGAAATGGAATCCATGAAACAGATTCAATCAGATATCTCAGAGATTAAAAATTTTATTGAAAGAATATTCAGTAGAACGAGCCAACATGATGAGATCTAGAAGACAAGAGTGCAGCCAGCAATGACGAAAAGAAAGATTGCTTAAAAATAGCAAGGGACCATGAAAAAGTAATCCAATAGCTTCTAGGTAATGCAAAGAAGAATAATATAATATTGATTGGAGTTAATAAAAAGCAGGAGAGAGCACAAATGACATAAAAAATCTGTTCACAGAAGTAATAGCAGAAAGTTTCCCAAGCATGGAAAAAGAATTTACTGTAAGTTAAGTGAGGCATATAGAGTTCCAATTAGCAATGATAAAAAAAATCTATGTCAATGCATATAATAGGCAGAATTCTAGAAATTCTACATAAGAAGAGAATATTAAAAACTTAGAGAAAAGTAACAAATGACTTAGAAAGGAAACCCCATCAGAATTACAGCAGACTTCTCAACACAAACTCTTAGGTCAAAAAGAGCTTGGAGTGAATTATTTTAAGCCCTATAAGAAAAAATTCTTCCAACACATATTGATATATCTCACAAAAATATCTTTCAAAATTGATGCAGAAATAGGATATTTCCATGAAAGAGAACACTTGAGGAAATTTATGACTACCAAACCCACACTTCAAAATGTTCTGAAGGACATTCTGGAAAGAGACAACAAAGACTACAACTCCATGAACCCCAAAGAATGAATTCCACCAAGAAAGACAAGTGATTAAACAGAGGGGAAAGAAAGAGAACTAATAACAGGAAAATAGTATGACAAAGATAAATTAATACATATCAATTATGACCATCAGTGTAAATGGTCTCAGTTCACCAATCAGAAAAAAAAAAGACTGGCAGAATAAATCAAGAAGCAAGATCCAACCATATGCTGTGTACAAGAAACACATTTAACTGAAAAAGAAATTCATAAACTGAAAGTCAAAGGATGGCAGACAATATTCCGTATGACAGGAACCCAGACAAAAGAACATGTTCTATTTGGAGACACAGTAGATTTCAAGCTAAGACTGATTAAGAGAGACAACAAAGGTCACTACATCCTTGTAAAGGGGATAATCCAAGAGGAAGATATAACAATCATAAATATATATGAACCAAACACCTGTGCACACAACTATGTAAAACAAATATTAACAGATATGAAAACTCAAATAAGCACTAATACAATTGTAACGGAGGCCCTCAATAGGCCACTGTGACAAATAGACAAATTAACCAGACAAAACATCAATAAAGAAATATCAGAAAGGAACCAAACTTTTGAACACATGGACTTAGTAGATGTCTACAGAATGTTTCACACCACAACATCAGAATGGCCATTTTTCTCAGGTGCACATGAGTCATTCTACAAAATAGACCACTCATCAAACAAGCTTAAATAAATGCAAAAGAATTGAAATTATCATATGCATATTATCAGACCAAAGTGCAATGTAATTGGTAATCAATGGCAAAAGAAACCACAAGAACTTCATAAATGCATGGAAATCAAATAATACCCTCCTGAACAACCAGTGGGTCACAGATGAAATTAAAGAAGAAATTTGACAGTTTCTGCAAGTAAATGATGAAAATACAACATACCAGAACTTATGCAAAACAATGAAAACAGTCCTATGAAGGAAATTTATAGTAGTGAACTCTCATATCAGAAAAAAATTAGTAAGCCCAAATAAGCAACTTCAAGCTTGTAGAGAAAGAAAAGCAAGTCAAGCTGAAAGCTTGTATGAACAAGGCACTTATAAAGAGCACTGCAGAAATTAATGCAATCGAGACTAAGAAAACAATACAAAGAATCAACGAATTGAAGAGTTGGATTTTTCCAACAAACCCTCAGATTGACAAACCCTCTGCCAACCTTCTCAAAAAAAGAAAAGAAAAGACTCAAATACATGCAATTAGGAATGAAAATTGTATAATCACAAGAGATCCTACAGAAATCCAGAAGATCATCAATACCTACTTAAAGAACCTGTATTCCTTTTTTTTTTTTTTTTTTTTTTTTTTTTTTGGTCTTTTTTGATATAGGGTCTCAAAGGTTCAGTCTGGCCTTGAGCTCCTTTTGTAGCCCAGGCTGGTCTTGAACTCACAATGATCCTACTGCCTCAGCTTCCCACATGCTGGGATTACAGGCATGCAACACCATGCCCAGCTAGAGCCTGTATTCTAATAAGGTGGAAAATGCAGAAAAAAATGTGCCTATTCCTAGAAATATATGACTTATCAAAGCCAAATCTAGAACATATGAAAAGATTCAAAATAAGCCAATAACCATCAATGTAATTAAGGATGTAATTAGAAACTAAGCAAAAAAAAACAAACTCAGACCTTGATGGATTCTCTACTGAATTCTCCAAGAAACTTAGAGAAGACCTTATGGCACTACATCTCAAACACTTTAATTAAATTGAAAGGGAAATGATTCTCCCCAATTCATCCATGGAAGCAACCTTTACTCCGATAGCAAAACCAGAGGAGGATCTAACCAAAAAAGAGAACTACAGACCCATCTTCCTAATGAACATAGATGCAAAAATCCCCAACAAAGTGAGAATGAGAACTTCTGTGCTAAGACTCTTGGTGGTTCCTGACTGTCTTGCTATGCAGGAAAAAAGCAATGTTCACTCTTCAGCAAAATTTTTTCCTGAATCAAAGTTGGTACCCCAGGTTTTTTGAAGTTTTTAGTCATCGTGACTATAAACCCCAGTCACGTCATTTATCTTGCAGCATGGCTGCCCTGCATAGGACTTCCTGTCCACATACAATGGTGCAGGGTGACAGGAGAGACAAAAACAGAACAGTATACTTTCCTACTTGATACACTGTCATATGCATTCAGTAAACTTACAACCAAACCAATGTAATTGCATTCCTTTTTTTTTTTTTTTTTTGAGATAAGGCCTCACTGTGTACTTTAGGCTGGCCTTTAACTCATTATGTAGCCCAAGCTAGCCTCAAATTTGTGGCAGTCCTCCTGTCTCAGTCTCCAGAGTGCTGGAATTACAGGTGTGCGCCACCACACCAAGCTATAATTTCATTTATCACATGCCTTGTAGTTCTGTAAGCAAATTCAGAGCTGTGTGATGACACCCAGCGAAAGCAGAAGGGACCCAACATTGCCAGGGCCACGAAGCTCCCTCTGGCCCTTCCCAGTGTCTTCCCTCTCACCAAAATTCACCCCTACCTGATTTGTACATATTATGTGTATTCCTGCTACTTGTATTTCAATTTCTTTCAGACTAAGAAATGTGTCATTTTCAGTGTTCACATTATTTTTTCCTCAGAATTTTTTTGAAATCTACATGCGTTGTTGCATAGCATTCCATTTTATGAGTATAGGACATTTTATTCTGCTTTTTATTGTTATTCATTTAGATGCATATCCAATGCAAGCTTTCAGAAAAATATGCTACTGTAAATACTTGAGAACACATCTTCGGGTGCATAATATGTGCATGTCTGTGGTCTATATATATTAGTTCATTGTCTCTTGCTATAGCAAAATATCTGAGACTAGATACTAATAAAGAATGCAGTTAAAAGGAATAGAAGTGTATTTGCCTCATAGTTTTGGAGGCTGGGAGGTTCAAAAGCAGGGAACTGCATCTGCTGAATATCCATCTGGCTGGGGCCTCGTTCTGCATGATGACAAGCTATAAAGCCGTGATGAGAATATAGGTACACACTAGATCAGACTTCTTTTCTTCTTTTTATAAAGCTATTGCACATTGGGGAATATCATCCTCAGGACTCCATCTAATCTTAATTAACTCCCAAAGGTTCCACATTCAAATACCACTGATATATAAAATTTTGGATTAAATTTGAAACACATAAAATTTTGGGGTACACACTTAAGCCACCAACAGGGTGTAGCCAGAAATGGAAATGCTAGGTCACAAATTGCTGCAGATGTGTATGTTCAGTTGTACCGGGTTTAGCTATGAGATTTCCAACTACTTTGACCTCATTTGTGACATGTCTGTTCATCCCTTACTCCCTACTTTTAATTAATTTTAATTCATGTTTTCTCCATTGATTTCAAACTATAGAAAGTGTTGTAACAGCTATATTGTAACATAAACGTGCAGCAAAATATCCTGATCCCCGGAGCACTCTGTCGTGTTCAAAAACAGAACATCCAAAACAGACACAAAGGACTCCAAAAGGGTCCACACTCACAGTCGCTCTAACTTCCGAAGGCCGCCAAATGTCTCCAGCTGTAGTGTCTCTAGTTGGTTAGAATGAATATACCTGGAAGACAGGAAGTTCAGTTGGTTACTCTTTGTGCTGCTGAGTAAAATAAAATGTTGGGAGAATTAGTAGTAGCTTTAGCTCAAATTGTGAATTTTGCTGACTCCATCCAGTACACATTAGATATAAAAACTGGGAACTCTGAAATGCCTTAATCTCTTGCACTTCACACAGCCCTAGGTCTAAAAACCTGATGCTCCAAAGGGGTCCTAGTCTCATCCACAGCGGGTCAGGATGCACCTCTATCTCAGGGGCTGTTCTGGGTAGAAAGATTCAAAATGGTTGGGGAAGTCACTCTTCTACTCATTAAAATTCAAAGTGAATATAAATTAGTAACTAAGATTGCAGCCATTATAAGACACATTACTAGTGACCACACACTGTAGTAGTGTTTCAAAATGAGAATTTTCCTTTCTGGAGGATACAACATGACATATTTGATGTAACCGATTAAGACAGCATGAGTTGTTTAACAAAAGGGACACTTTCTGAGAAATGTGTCATAGACAGTTTTGTTGTAAAACTTCAGAGCACACTCCTGCAAACCTAAGACCATCGCTCCATGTAGACTCCTAATGCAAGCATGAAAGAGACGAAGCTGTTACTAGCATAACATTCCAGACTACTTTAGATTAATTTTTTTGTAAGTGGAAAGAGTATACTCTAAAATAAGTGTGTATAGTAAATACATATACCAGCAATACAGTCATTTATTATCCTTACGAAGTAGTGTGTAGTGAACATAATTATACGTGCTACATTCTCTTAAGACTGGCAGTGAGGTAGGTTTATTCACACTAGCATCAGCACACTGCACTACATTGTAAAGGCTGCAGCATTAGTAGAACAGGAATGTGTCAGCTCCACTATAATCTCATGTGACTACTGTCCTATGTATGATACACCGTTGACAGAGAGTGTATTAGGCAACAAATGACTGTATTTGAAATTAATTAATTATAATACCAGGGTAGGAGCACGTATGTATAATTCCTGTAAAGGAACACTTGGCAGGACTCCATATACCATCTACACACCTAAGCCATGAGATTTTTCTAAAGCTGCTATTGCAGAAAGTTTCTCTGCAAGCCAGTGCAGTTGCAGGCAGAAAAGTTTGCATATCCCTAAGAAATCCTGTGAAGCAGTGGAGAAAAATGCTTCCAAAGCAGAGTGCACAGCAGAACTTTGCAAAGGAAATCTTGCTAATATGCAAGGGTATCTATGGGTAAGGCTGCTGTCTCCCTCAGGAAACTGAAACATATGCCCTGCACTGAACTTCAGATCTCAGCGTTTTAAATAATCTCAGTACAACCAATGGCTTTATACAAAGTCTGCATAACTCGTCTGCAGGAAGCACCTTGAACACGAAGTGCCCATGCAAAAGAACAAGCCAAGTTTCATTCTAAACTGAGAAAAGGATGAATGTCCATATGGGAGGACACCGCATATCACACTTGGCTTTAGTACTGAGAAGTTAGTTGTCTTGGTGTGAGGGCTCTCAGATAAAAGAAGCTTTACAGCTACCTGTGTGTATGCAGCATGTTTACCTAATCACAGTCAGAAACACTTTTGAATGGAGAGAATAAAAAGCTTTAAAGAAAAAGAGTACTTCTACTTTATTCCTACACTTCTTCCTATGAAATCAGTATGATAGGATGATTAATGTAAATAATGTGAAAAAATGCTAATTGCAATAGAATGAAAAGGATGTAGTTGGAAAGAATGATAATTTCAAACTACCTCTTTTGGTTTTTTTATTTTAATTTTAAAGAAAATAAAAAATAAAAAAATTTAAAAGATACAGAATTTCAAAACAAGATGATAGGAATTTAGCAATGGTTGTTATACTGCATGCTGTTATCTTCAAAGTAGTTGTTAAGTTTACCAGATATAAGCATGCAAAATTGATCCAAAAAATTAAGCATTAACTGTCCCTTTCAGTAAACCAATAGAAATTAGTAGTACTGTAATCTTAGCTATCTTGTATATGTATATGTGTATATATATACATATATATATACACACACAAGATAGCATATAGATAGATAGATAGATATACACATATATATACTTTTCCCTTTCTTCTTTCTTTCTTTTCTCCTTTCCCTCATCACAGCTTTTCTTTCCTTTCAAGCAGTTTCTTTCCCTTTCACAATAGCTATTGTACCTTTTGGATTGTATTTACTCTTTTATGTTCTTATACCAAGGAGACAATATGATATTTACACCTGCAGGTATGATTTATTTCACTTATGAGTATGGTATCTAGTTGCATCCATTTACCTATAAAAGCCTCAAGTTTATCTTTCTGTGTAGCTGAGTAGTACTGCATTGTACAAAATTACCACATCTTTTGTATCCATTCCTCAGTTGATAGGCTTTTGGGTTGTTTCCAAGATTTAGCTATGACAAACTGTGCTGCTGTAAACATGGATGCACATCTATCTTAAGTTGAGTCCCAAACTCAGTGTGCACCCCCACCTCTAAATATTATCATCCCAACTGGTGACCCCATGCTTTCTTCCCAAAGGTCTTTCTCATTATAACAGCTACAAGGGGACACTGTTGTAACTGCCTTAGTGTATGCATAAAACAACTTTCTTTGTTACTTTGAAATACACACACACTAGCATACCCATGCACACACACACATACACAGTACCCTACATACGAAACTACTAGTTTCCTTTGCTGGTCCAACACATCCTGAAGTGATTAGGGCCTGGGGAAGGCAAAGAAGTTATAGGCGAGGGACTCCAAGCAGGCATGGTGCTGAAGCAAGAGGTCAGAGAAAAGGAAGTTTCTGGGACTTCAGTGAGGAAAGGCTTGGAGAGCAGTCCATTATAGGATTATTCTTTTTGGGTCAAATACACTGCATCACTGGCTTGCAACCTCTTCGTCTTACACATGGTTGATAATGTAGAGAACAAATAGACATCTTAGGATGGATATGAACAGGTGCTGACAAAGGCTTCACGTTTACAATGAAGTAAATTGTGATTTGCTTATTGTTCTTCTTGCTTAAATGTATTTAATCATTTTTTTATCTTTACAACTACACTGTAAGGAAAGCTCTGCGAGTATTCTCATGGAGAAAAAGGAGGTACCATGAGATTAATTTGCTGACTTTTGCACGGCTTCAAATACCTGAAAGTGATGGAAGCACCACGGTCCACTTTCAGCAGATGCCTCTTCTAACATCTGGGCAGAACAGTCTCCGTGACTGGAGAGAGGGCAGCCAGAGAGTGAGGCACCGGGCATGCACAGATGATCTCCTGAAACCTAACCTCAGGATCCCAGGAGCAAAGTGTTTCTCAGGTGTAAAAATGGATTCTCCACCGGGAGAGGTGAAGTGCTCAAGACCACACAGCTGAGCGATGGAAAATCCAAGCCACAAGCTCCAGAAAGCTCATGTTCCCAAACACTCCCAGAAGCTGTTTTGCAGTTTGCCTACGTTAGTGCTTTCCAAGATGTAATGTTAGTTACTGGATGAAAACACTGCATTCTTGTCACTGAATAACCTAACAGGCCACAAGAACAGAAGTCACTAGCTGGGTGTCTGTTTGAACCAACCAATGGTGTCATGGTTTGTGTCTTCACATCTCCCCAAATCCTCCTGCAGTCATGGGGCAGGCTTCTAGAGTTTATGATTGATTCATGGTCCAATGCTGGGATTATGGGTGTAACTCCTACACCCACTTCAGGTGGATAGTTTGCATACCATGTAAGGGAGGAAAAGAGGCTGCTTGCCACTACTCCTCCCTTTTGCTCTGGTTGCTTTGGCTATCTTCCACAGCCATGAACAATTGCCCTCTGCCATGTGCCACTCTGCCTTGGAGCCACCCAAGTATGGACTAAAACATCCACAAACTGTAACCTAAATAAACCTTTCCTTCCTTAATTTTGGGCATCAGGTGTTTTGTCTCAGCAATGAGAGAAAAGTAACCAAGACAAATGGCTAATCCAAAAGATCTTAAAAGTGAATATTCTAGTATAGAAATGAGCTATGCATTTAATTTTCCACCGTGCTATTTATTAAACTTCTTTTGAAGGATCTCTCTTTTTATTAAAATTTGAATCATAAAATTTGAGTTCAGTGTAAACACTTCTAATGAACACTAGCCTTCCCACCACCGATAATCTGACTGTATTCTTCATGGTCTGCACGGGGGCTGAGGTTACTGCAAGAATAAAGACAGCTTCCAGTTGCTAGAAATCTGGTGTGTCCAGCCAACTAAAATCAGGGCAAAGAAACAAGTTAAGGGTTAAAAATAATGTGTAATAGGTCATCCAATATCACAGCTACTGTGATGGTAAGAATGAAACATACAAGTACACTTTGCAGTCAGCATAATTTGTGCTCTGTATTCCACAGTAAAGTCATTGATAAACATTGATTTTTAATTCATAAGAAATGCATGATCTCTTTTCCAGCTTGTACCTGATAAGTACCTACTAATCACAGTGCCCTTTTTATTCCCCATTACAGCAATGTTTCCTCAGAATAAATACTCCCCATTCTACACTTACCCAGAGATGCCCTGTAGGTTGGATGCTTTCTGGTGGACTTCAATCTAATACTCAGTAGGAAAAGCAACTGGTATCTGAATTCACTATTAATGAATGTGGAAAATGTACAAAAAAGTAGATTTTCTTCTTTGCAGGGAAATAAGATAGCCCAGGGAGTTCGATTTGATTATAGTGCAGGCATCTTTAAAAAGCTTTTAGTCCATAAGATTTGATAAATTTCCTAACAAAATTTTTTCAAAATTTATTTTTAACTCTCAAACCAATTCAAAGTGGTAGGATGCTTTAAGTTAGGTTTGTTTGATTTATGTGGTAGCTTTAGCCCAGTCAAACAAGGAGGGATTTGGCTTTGATTTCTACTCTCTTTTGAGCCTTAATAATACAGTGAGTCTACCCTCTGTCACAACCTTTGTTTTTACAAGGTTGTTGACAATCCTGACATGGTTAGACATCTATTACAGGTAAGTAAATGT